AGAACATCACCACATTACCTTGGCCAGCACTGAGTCCCGACCTCTCCCCCATCGAGCATGTCTGGGACATGCTTGGACAGAGGTTACGTCAACGTCAACAACGTCCTGCCAATGTCCAAGAACTTGCTGCTGCGTTGCAACAGGAATGGGACAATCTGGACCAAAATGACCTTAGACGTCTCATTAGGAGTATGCCACGTCGGATCAATGCTTGTTTGGCAAACAGAGGAGGATTTACCCGTTACTGACTTGGTTGTGATGCTGTGGTAACTTTGCTGTTTGACCCCGGGTATCATTTTACCCTTATAATGGTCAGTCTGTGCCTTACTTAGTCTAACGATCATTTGGAATAAATCGATGAATGTGAACTTCATTTCATTTTGTCATTTGTTTCTTCGTCAGTTTCATTAGGTGACTGTAATAACACTTAAAAATCAAATATCCCCTACTTTTTTTGAATAGTATATAATCATAAGTAATCTAGATAAAGGGAAAGAGCTTAGCTTTGTATTCTGTGATATTTCTAAAGCGTTTGATAAAGTCTGGCACATGGGAATTATATATAAGCTGCGAAAGTATGGTATTAGTCTAAATTTATGTGATTGGATATACAATTATTTAACAAATCGTAAACAATGTGTTGTCCTTGAAGGTTTTCAATCACCTTATTTGTCAGTTGAATCCGGGGTTCCCCAGGGATTGATACTCGGTCCTTTTCTATTCTTAATATACATAAATGATATTTCAGACAATCTAGATAACAATGTACGATTATTTGCTGACGATACGTCCTTATTTGCAATTATAAATGATAACCCTTCAGAAACTGCTAATTCAATTAATAGTGATCTGAAGCTAATATCAACGTGGGTAAATAAATGGCAAATAAAATTTAACCCAAATAAAACTAAAAACTTAATATTCACACGTAAAAAAACCTAATCATCCTAATCTTATGTTTGAAAATAAAATTATTGATAAAGTTTCCTCACACTACCACCTGGGACTAACATTTCATCTAAACGGAACATGGGCAGAACATATTTCTAAAATTCACAAAAAAAGCTTGCAATAGACTCAACATACTACGCCAATTAAAATTTAAATTAAACCGATCTACGTTATGTATGATATTTACGTCATTTATACGTCCTCTTATGGAGTATGGGGATAGTATATGGGATAATTGTAGTATTGAAGATTCGGAATTACTTGAGAATATCCAACTAGAAGCAAGGAGAATCATAACTGGTCTGCGCCGAAATTCCCACAGAAAATATGTTTATGACGAATTAGTGTGGGAACCACTGTTCAAACGCCACCAAAAGCATAAACTCGTCTATTTTTATAAAATCCTTAATTGCTATAGTCGTCAGTATTTGCCCGATATTCTAATGAAAATACAACCTGAAACAAATTATTACAATCTTAGAAACGACAAACTGAAAATACCACAATGTAAAACGTCTTCTTATATAAAAGGTTTTTTCCCAAACACAATAAAACTATGGAATAGTCTTCCTGCGCACGTGCAGTTATCACCGTCTCTGAATACTTTTATGTCCAGTCTCCTGAGTCAGTACCCTATACATAAAAAACCTAGTTATTTTCACTATGGAAACCGTAAGAAAAATATCATTCACTGCCAACTAAGAAATAAATGCAAAATGTCCAAAATGCAATTCTTCGGATGAAGATAACTTCCACTTTTTCTTCTCTTGCCCATCTTATTCAGCTATCAGAATCGAACTATTAAATTCATTAAAGGTATTCACAGAAAATATTAATCTAGATTTGATTTTAAATGGCTCTACAGATCTTTCGAATACCTCCAATATCTTGATTTTTGAAGCAGTCCATTATTTTATTAAAAGTACCCAAAGGTTTTGATTCGCTTTTACATATTATTGTTGTATAATATCAAATAATTCCATCGTATATATCATTTCCACATGAAACTGTATACATGTTCGGTTTTACAATTTATTATATTTAATCTTTTTTTTATGTTATATTTATCGTTTATTATTTTCTGTATCCCTGGGAAAGAACTTATATAGGCTTTGCCTGTTGTTCAATCCTTTTAAATGAATAAAATATTGTTTAAACTAAACTATACTAAACTAAACTCGTAAAAACAAATAAACGAGTAGTCAGACATTTTAATTTCTCTTATCGATATATCGATGATGTTCTATCACTGAATAATCCCAAATTTAGTGATTATGTAGAATTCATATATCTTGATGAGTTCGAAATTAAAAACACTACTGACAGTGAAAATTACGCTTCCTACTTGGATCTGCGTCTTGAATTTGACAATTGCCATAAATTGAGTATTAAATTGTATGATAAACGTGATGACTGTGACTTTCCGATTGTTAACTTTCCATTCATTAGTAATAACATTCCAATATCACCAGCTTATGGAGTGTTTGTGTCTCAGCTAATTCGTTGCGCAAGATCGAGGCATTTGTCATCTAAGCTTCAACTACAGGGATACTTGCCCACTAAACTCACAAAAACTATTTCGGCTATTATTCTAGATAAATTTAATTGACGCGTATACTACCTCCCTGATTATTTCTACTACATCGTTAACACTGTTCATCGCGTGCATTTTGCAAAAGGGGTAGTCCATTGGCCAATCACGCTATTTTACCGAGATTTCGTCTTATGGTTTGGATGCAGCTATGGCGGGTGTGGCGCCAGGCAGGGTAAGCTTACTCTCCCGGACACCTGTTACCACTGTTGATTACACCATTTTGCCTATACCGTTTTTTTCAGCACTTCGAGTTTTGTCTAATGGTTTGGATTGTTCATAGTTGGTTTTATTTTATTATTATCTTAACAGAAACAATAAGCTTTCAAATGAAATATGAAAGCTTAATAATCTTAACAGAAACAATAAGTTTTCACAGAAACAATAAGCTTTCAAATGAAATATGAAAGCTTAATAATCTTAACAGAAACAATAAGTTTTCACATGAAGCAGATATGAAAGTTTTCATATTCACAGTCACTTCCTGTCACATGTCATGGGTCATATAAAAAATCTGAACAAGAAATAATAATCATTAAAATCAGTCAAAAACTCGCGAAGTTAATGGGATTTTTCACACGTAACAAACTTTGTCGGCACGATAAACGTCAACGGCCAAATTCGAAATTGTGACATTTTCAAATACCATAAATTCGACCCTGACCCCGGCTATTCAGAAATGTATTCAGTTTGGAAAATAGAAGACGTATTCTCCAAACTATACTAATGTCCAAAACAAAGTATACACTGTACATTTCGTGCTGCATCAACCAAAGTCGTTTTCCATCGTACCGGCATTTGGGTACAAGGTCAATTTGTTTCGCTTTTTTATTTTGCTTAGAAATGTTGAGTTTTGACGCAAGAGACAAACCCAGTAATGTTTTATCAAATATTTTTAATCTAAATAAAACTTAGTCATATTTTTAGTGCGTATACATTCTTTTAAACATTAGTATACGTCCGTTATCGTCAGTACTTTCTTAATTAGTATAGAAAAAAAATCAATGCAATCTGACCTATATTTCGTTGATTTTTTTGAAAACTTTGATCCATATTTTATTATTCTTATTCTTATTCTTATTACAGCATATTTATAGTGCACCCTTTCATATAACATGTTCAGGGGCACTTTACAAAGTGACAATGTAAATCATTCTCCAAGGCGAGATAACTTAGACAATTTCTAATGACTTTGTTGAAGTTGGATCAGCCAGGTCTATTTACATTCCTAATTTCATGAAAATTGTACTAATATTCAAGAACTTGTCATGTTGGTTTTACTTCCGGGATGAGATGTTAATGACGTTATATTCGAATTTCGAAAATCGGAAATAGCAGATTTAAAGTAAATGTTTTAAGGTACTCCAAGAAAAAAAAATATAGTAAAATAGATCAAAAAGTCACAAATTTACAGCTATGTAGATCAATTTTTTCATCAGTAAATTTCGGATTCGTAAAACGTTTTGAAAATCTATTGATTCCAAAGCCACAGCCAATTCTTGGAAGGAGGCTAACAAGAAATGTATTAATTTCCCAAAAAGGAGACAAATTCACGAAACCGCTCGAATTTTCACTCGAAAACAACTTTGTCGGCACGAAAAACGACAGAGGCGAAATTCAAAATTTTGAAATATTCAAATGCCAAATATTGGGCCATGAGCCAGGCTATCCAGAAATATATTAAGTTCAGAAATAGAAGACGAATTCAACAAACTACGATCTATTGTGTTTATTTACAAGCCCGTTAATGTAGAATTTTCACTATTTTTTATATTCAATTCAAATTGGGGACCATCACTTGACCTAAATCATAATTCTGCTCTGAACGTTTTTTAGGCATTCCTTCAAGGATTCTGACTTATATTTTGTCGTTTTTTTTTCAAAATTTGATCCTTAATTTAGAAAATTTCTATAGACATCTTTCAAATCCCATTAGTAAGATCTACTTTCATTCCAAATTTCATGAATATCGTTCAAATATTAAAGAAGTTGACAAGTTGGTCTGAATTTCCGGGACGAAATTCGAAAATCCGAAATTGCATTTGAAAAAGAATTTCTTCATGGTACTCAAAGAAAAAAGAATTAGTAAAATAGGTAAAAAAAAAAACCACAAAGTTATGACTATGCATTTTTTTTATTTTTTCGTTCGTAAATTTCGGTGATTTCAAATACGTAAAACGTTTTGAAATATATTTATGCAAAGGCCACCACCCATTTTTGGTGGGATAGGTCAAAGTTTCAGGAAGATCCCATGGTTAGATTCTGAGAAATCCGATTTGTGGACAAAACACAAAAAAAAAAAAAAAAAAAAAAAATAATATATGAAAGCTTAATAATAATAATAATCTTAACAGAAACAATAAGCTTTCAACTTTAACTGTATATCTAATGGAATTTAGTTATTTGGCGTGGTGGTTAGAACGGCCTGTTACTCAATTGTTTATCTTGTTGTATTTACAGTGTTGTATTCAACTTTCGTCGTCAAGAAACATGTACTTTATCATATTCTTGAAATATCACAAGTAAGTAATATAAACATATATGAAGCAAATTAATATAAGCTTTTAGCTTTTTTTTTTGTATCATATCTTAAAATCGTAATGTATTATTTGATATTTTATGAATAAATATTGTTTAAACCAAATATGAAAGCTTAATAATAATGATAATTTTAGTAAAAACAAGTCTTTCAGATGGAAGTCTGAAAGCCTAATAAAATTTTTAGTAAAAACAATAGTCTTTCAGACAAAAGTCTGAAATTCTAATTAAAGAGCCAGTGTTAGCAAAAGGTGCAGTAAAAATAGTCTTTCTAAAAATATCTACATCTGTGAATATATACGAGTTTCCACTAGAACTAGTCGAAATAAATCCGTATAAATCGGCTTGCCATACTTCAAACGGCGCAGTTGGGGTAGGATATGCGATAATTCCTGATTTGTTATGATCTTTAGTCAACTTTCTGCGTTGACAGAAATCACAAGATCGAATATAATCGGACACTCTTGTACTCATATTTGGATTAGTGTCTACAATATCACAATTATGTTCAGTGTCTGCATCATACACACTTTCAACAGAATCTGACACAAGATATTGTTCTAAATTAATAGCACATTGATTCTAGGGAAAGTAGGGATCCTCTTCCGCAGGGCTTTCAATACACTTGTAGAATTTGCTGTTAGGTTGTTCATAAATACGCGACAGTGCATCAGGTACACACATCTGATCAGCTGGCTTGTAAACAATTTCAATGTAAAATTGTTGTAATATTGCGATCCAACGTTTATAAATTGTTCCACGTAATTTCTAGGGCTTGATGATCAAGATAACAAAGAACACTAGTAAAAGTTAACCCGTGTAATACTTTATCCATTAAGAGCTGAAATAAATTGGGTGAGGATTTTAAACCCATAGGTAAACGAAGGAATTTATAAAAACCAAAACAAGTCGAAAACGCAGTGTATATTTTGATGATGAGGGATCTGACCCCATTTGGAAAAATCCAGTTGATCAATGAATTGAGGTTATACAGTGAAACAGTCTTGTGTTGGATCTCAACACAAGGATTTGTGTTAAACACAAGCTTGTGTTGTTTTACATTGCATTAACACAGGTTTGTGTTCTTTTCAATGCCTTAACACAAACTTGCGTAGATTTATCAAATCTTGTGTGTGTTTTTTTTATATAATTAATTACGTCGAACTTTAAGATAACATTTATTATGTTACTTTATTATCTGTAATAATATTATTTTTATTTATTGAGAAAATCTGAATGGAATTGGGGAACTGGCTTAGGGATCTGGCTTAGCCTATATGTAAAACCCCTCTTCCCGATTTTGAATGTTGAGGAATTCATTCCACTGTTAACTTGATTTCTATAATATTTGTAGTTATCTAAAACCTTATATCAATTATTACAAACGTTAAGTAGAGATCCCCATGTATGTATAGTGCAATACATGTAATATAGTTAAAACAACGTATTTTATAACAGTATACTGATATAAAGAGATCGAAGTTTTAATCAATTGTTATCTAATTATAAACTATTTATTTAATTAGGCATAATAAAAGATTATTCTGATTATACCCTTGTCTCAGACAGTAGACAGAGACAGGTTATTACAATGTCTGCATTTGGAAGTGTCTGATTGATATCGCCCTAATAAACTTGACACATCAAAGAATTTGTCGAAGGGTGTGAAAATTAGAATAATAGTATTATATTTAGGTTTTAAAAAATGTCTGAATGGGTGTGGAAATAGTTGAGTTAATCTTTTTATTTAATTTAATTGGTTTATGTGCTTACCTGTAAATGACCAATCAAAATTAATTAATCTAAAAAAAAAAGGAAGAAATATTTATTGCAGTATTTTACGATACTAAACCCTATTATACTACAAAAGTTAAATGTATTCGTAAGCAGTGTGGTAATTCCTTCCTGGATTAGTATCGATTAATTAAATAGTTCGGTGTTAGAACCAATTTAAAAAGTGATATTGTTGTGAAAAAAGTATGTTCAGAAAACAAGATTATCAGGTTTCTTATTATTGTATTTTTTAATACAATGTATTTATTAAATTAGATATCTGTATGTGTATCGAAACGTAGCAAGTCAAAAAATTCAGAAGTAGTATATCCATATAAGTGTTTTTAATTTGTGAAATCTGCTTCTTTATGTCTTATAAAGACAATGTATTTATAACGCAAATTTTTCGTTTCGGTTAAAACAAAATATACGCCCATTTCAATTGGCCGAAGGACGTCTGGCTTATAGTAATATGGCGGGCGGGCAAACTGACCAAACAATATATTTCGAGGTATTTGAGGTAAGCTAATTCAATATTATATCATATCCGCATGTGCATAATTGTGTTTCTGTGTGATTACGTTTTCAAAAAACTACTCTTAGGATACAACTTCGACACCAGTCAGTCCTGAACTGCAATGTTTGTTTTGTGTTCTGTTGCTTTCTGAGCGCCATTTTGAAAAACAGACATGACCTACTTACTTGTAGATAGTTGATAACTGATTGTGTTCTATTTTTCAGATTGCAGTAAATTTTAGCAATACAATCCAGCGATAGTGCAGTCTAATTGCTTTAAAAGGAAATCTGAATCCAGGTGAAGTTATCAGTTATATTCATGATATGTTATATTTATTCAAATCATACCATAGCTACTTGTAAATGCCCAGTTGTCTTAGAGAAATAATAATTCAAACTTCAAATCAGTTATACCCATGATATGTTGTATTTATTCAAATCATACCACCGAAAGTTGTATTAATCCAATTGCATAATAATAAAAACTTGACTTTTATTATTTTATTTGTTCAGGCCAAGAAAATGGAAAATTGGTAATTGCCTTGTATCACTGCCAACTATAAGACACAGACAGTCTTGAGCAAAAATAATAATAAAAGAAGAGACTTTTTAAGAATGCGTTTGCGAGAGAACCAAGCAGGGACCGGCACATGGTGTGTGACCGATTTTCACCATTTTTTTAAACGTATGATGGGTAACCCCTCCAAACCCCACTGCCCCAATTTTAGATCAATCGAACAATTTTTTAGAGTGTAGAAAAAAAATTGAAATTTTAAGACCGAAAAAAGCCAAAAAATCATCATTTTCAGGCCACTTTTCTATTATGGCGTACAACTAAACTACGGCGAGTAGATTAATGAAACTTTTTAGGGTAGCAGATATGGTTATTAAGTATACAATCTGAAAGTTTGATGGACTTACGTTGAACGGTCCTTGGTATAGAGACTTAGTGCTGCAAGGTACCAAAATAGCTCAATTTAGGTATGTCATTTTATTCTATCTATATCTCACCCACTGCGGGTATAAGTATTTTTTTGGAATGCTGACTGAAAAGGCAATGGTCTATAGTATTTAGATCAAGAAAAAGATTGGGTGGCACTCAACCCGTTTAGTAGTAAATAATTTCCATTTTTGTCCAAAAGTAACGATTTTCAACAAAAATGACGAAACATAAACCGCTTTATTTACACTGAAAAGTGTAACATGGCACTGGAAACCAAATTAACGTGGGTGCTAGTTCAATTAAGAGCACGTCATAATAGAAATAAACTTTCATCAAACAATTCAAGTTTAAAAAATGTTCCATTATCAAAACTACAAATACATTAGCAATAAGTATTTCAAATTGAAAAATATCGCTAACTTTACTATCTGCTATCTATCTATTCATCTATTCATCTATCTATCTATCTATCTATCTATCTATCTATATATCTGTCTATCTGTCTAATAAGTATCTAATCACGAAAACTGATCTCACAATTACACCGTTAAATTTTGAAAATCTTAATTTACTGTAAATGCCAAAAGAGCTGTTCTTGGTAAATACAATTAATCTCTCTCGCCTATTTTTCAACATTTTATTAATTCGGCAATATAATCCCGTGATCTAGTAGAAGGATGATGAATTTTTGAACAACAAATCGTAAAAACTAAATAGTGTAGTAGTCATGTACATCTGTCTATACTTGACAAACACACAAGCGATATTTCAAAAAGACAAAAACAAATAGTATATGAGCGTAAGGTCACTATTGTTGCAGGTTTTGTTTGATTAGACCTAATCCCACTCAACACTGCCGTAATGAAAGCCAATTTCTGTTCCAAATTATGACTGGTCAATAGTCCGATTAACAACCAATACCTAACTGCGTAACAATATCATTCGAGTTTAAGTAGAGCTCCAAATATTACTGAGCGTCATGGAAAACGCATCACCTTTTTTCCCCAAATATTTTATTACTAGGTGGTTTTGTATGTATACTATTATGCAAAGACGTGTGAAGGAATCGAGCTAGAGATGCCGAGACTTACTGAAAATCAACGGAATGAAGCCATGGGAATGTCCAGAGCTGGCATGTCTACACATGCTATTGCCAGACACTTCAATTGTCATCAGTCCACTATTGTAAGGTTGGTGGAACGTCTTCGAGTTACTGGATCAACACGTGACCGTCAACGTCCTGGTCCACAACGCGGTACAACCCAGGCTCAAGACCGCTACATCCGGGTCACTCATCTGCGTGACAGATTCCGCCCAGCGACTCGAACTGGTACAGCAGTCGTCGGAAGACAAGGACCAGTAAGTGCCAACACCGTAAGACGTCGTCTAAGAGAAGTAGGACTCCGTGCACGACGACCTTATGTTGGAGCTATCCTCAGGGATCATCACCGTCAGTGGCGTTTGATATGGGCTCAAGAACACCAGACATGGAGAAGAGTAGACTGGCAAAGTGTGCGCTTCAGTGATGAGAGACGTCTTGGGGAACGTCTTGCAGACTGCTGCGTCTTCGAAATGAATCGATGGGGTGGGGGAAGGGTAATGTTGTGGGGTGGCTTCACATTTCATCACCGGACCGCCCTACACATTTGCAGGGGTCGCGTTAATGCTGTAGCATATCGTGATGATGTCTTGCAACCAATTGTTGTTCCGATGTTTCGAGCGCACCCACAACTTCAGCACTTCCAACAGGATAATGCACGTCCGCATACCACCCGTTTTAGTATGGACTACCTGGCTGCTAACAACATCAATGTCGTGGACTGGCCAGCCATGTCTCCGGACATGGCAGCGATAGAACATGTCTGGGATGAGATTGGACGCCGTCTGAATCGGAGACCACAGATGCACACCATTGCTGCTTTAGAAGCTGCTGTTGTCCAAGAATGGAACAATTTGCCCCAGGCCTTTTTTCAAACATTGGTAAATTCCATGCGATGTCGCTGCACAACGTGAGTAAGAGCCCGTGGAGGACATACGCGCTACTGTCATCTGTGTCGTACTTTTGGTTTTGACCCCTCTGACTTTGTACCGTTGATTACAGATTAAACATCCATAAGTGTACAAATGTGTTGTTATTGATGTGTTCCCATTTGAATATTGTTCACAATAAGAAGAAAAATAAATAAGATATGTTTACAGGATCATTTTGTTATACGAAAAACTAAGTGATGCGTTTTCCACGGCGCTCAGTATATGTTTACATACCGTTACGTCATGATTCACGAAATTTATTACGCCCATAGCAGAATGTTGCAGAAAAACTAACTGCGCGATAGACGAGGCTATCAAAACGGCTACAATGTAAACAATGCTGTTTGGAGACGAACAATACTTTCACCGTTTTTACTACCTTAAATCACTGTCCAAAGTTTTAGGGAAGGCCCCAGATTAAACGCAAGACTGTACTTAGGAACGATTTGATTTAACGGGAAGAATAGACACACTCCCCGAAAAACGTAAGTATTAGAAGTCAATCCAGCAATGGCCAGAGCGGTATTTCTAGGGCTATTGCTTCGGGAATATGCTACTGTAGTTTCTTTCGGATAACTGGCTACTAAACCGCATTTTATTTGTGCAAAAGACGGGGAAATGAACAGCTGATTTCAGTCGCCATCTTTGATGTTGGAGTGCAAATCTAGCTTCGGCCTGACGAATAATAATAATAATAATATGTACATTTGTATAGCGCACGTACTCCATGTACAGAGGCATGTCCACTGCGCATACACTTAAATTAATTTAATTAATCCTGATAACAAGATGAGTTTTAAGTCTTGATGTAAACAAGAAAGGGTTTAATGATGATTTAATGATCTCTGGAAGATTGTTCCGCAGTTTAGGCGCATTCACTGAGCACGATCCGTATCCAAATGATTTTAATTTGCACCTTGAGCAACACAACTGATGAAGGTGTGTTCGGACGGAGGTTACGCGAGGGAACTTGTATTTGCATAAGGTTAGACATGTATATTTTAGTTAAGCCACACACTGATACGTCAAAGACGGACTTTTGAAGATGATTCTTTCATGAATTGGCAGCCAATGGAGTGATTTCAGAACAGGAGTTATATGAGAGTATTTTGATGATATTGTAAGAATTCGAGCTGCGGTATTTTGTACAAGTTATTTTTTTTTAATATTGGCACTAGATGTTTCTACTAACAAGCTGTTACAGTAGTCAATCCTTGAGAATACCAAAGAACATAAAAGTGTAGCAGCTGCTTCCTGGCTAATGAAGTATCATATGTTCCTGTACCGAAGATAACAGTTTCGACAAATTTCACAAATGTGACTGTCTATGTTAAGAGGACACCTAACCTCTTCACAGTGTCTCATGGTACAAATATTGCATCTCGTACAACCACATCATTTGAACGTGTATTTTTCAGATGTGTATTTGGCCCACATAAAATACATTCTGATTTACTTAATTCAATTAAATTTCATTCCAACATATTTCTTGTCATCCTCTCTTTAATCTTAGAACTAGTATTCTAGTTCTATGCTTTAATGTCATGTGTACAAATAGGGGTTGGACCAGTTTTTGAAAGGGAGTAATTTACAGAAAAGACAGGTCCAAGGACTGATCCTTGTGGAACTCCCGAATCATCTGTACCGGTCCTACACAGGGTTGCTGGAAGTCGGTTGCTTGGGGCATTATCTGGTCTAATAATCTAGACAATGAATGATTTTTTTGGAAAAATGATGTCAAAAATGAAGTCATTTTCTTCAAGTTCGAACATCAAATTTAATATGAACGAAATTTATATGTTTTAGCATATAGCAAAAGCTACGTCTCAAAATACATCCCTCATAGCCTCAAGGGGGGTTGGATGGCCGAATGGTTAGCACGTGCGTGCTGTATCATAAGGCCTGTCATTAAGTCAACTGGCGTGGTTTCAAATCCCCGGTTGTACGTGACAAGCAGTATGGTCGCCTGTCCAACCTCATGGGTTTTCTCCGGGTCCTCCGGTTTCCTCCCACTGCTAAAGACTCCTACGCGCAAGCGAATTATTGAAATAAAATTAAACCATATGTTAGTCCCGAAATGACCTAGTTTGTGTCGAGTGGGCGTTAAACCCCATTTCTCTCTCTCTCTCTCATAGCCTCAAATGATTTCGGAAAAAATTTCATAGTCATATATATTGAAGTAGTAGACAAGTACATTCATAAAAAAATAATTTAAAAAAATAAAAAATCAATAGGCAATTTATGGGAAACATTTGAATTTAGGGAATTTTAAAAAAATGACGTTTTTTTTTACTCTAAAATGGCCATAGCTGGTTCTCCGTAACTACAATGTTGGTGACCCTCATATTTCATGTGGGGTATACGGGGTACCCAATGACCAATGACCAAATCTGCTTGTGCCGGTTTTTCTAAATTCTGCATGATTCTCTCGCGAACTCATTCTTAATACCTATATTATACTTAATAGGTTAAATATGGTTGTCAGATCTGTTACTGTGTACAGAATGAACAGAATGTACAAACCACATTAATACACTTGCTATTAGGTTATTTTGCTCACAGAGAAGCGGGTGAGTAATCATCAGAAACAGATGTAAACTTCAAATGAGCATAGCTATTTGGATAATTGCTTTGTGGGGTTCTAAACTGATATAATGCCATCAAAGTGGTCAT